GGGGCTAGTTGTGACACGNGGTAAGTTGTCAAACTGCTATTATCTTGCTTACTAAATCTTAGAAAATATTCTTCTTTTTAATGTAAGTTGCTACTAGTTGTGTTAGTAACGTGTACGAAAGAACTTTTCTTAAAAACATTATATATGATATTTACGAGCACTTTTGTAAAACTGGATATGGCAAGTAGATTTTTCTGATCTCGATTCTTTAGTAATATTTCATTGGTTTTAAAATTTCTAATTGCAATTTTATCTTATGTATAGGAAATATGGTAGTTTTAAATAAGTTTTCCTATATTTATTTAATCGTCATCGCATCGCAGTTTATAAATATAATATCTTTTATTTAAAATGAACGTTTGGGATAAGTTGACTCAAATTGAGACGGGATAAGTTGTCACACGGTGAGCATACGCGAAGAAGTAATCGCAGTGATCGTTATGCGTCGTTATAACTTTTTCAGTACCTGTCATTGTTTTTTTTTATTAAAGATTAGATTACTAATTATGTTTTATAGTTTTTAACTGATTTAGTATTGTGAAATCATTTAAACTTGTTTTATATATATATATGATTATTAATATTGTATAAATACTTTATACTTAATGTATAATGTTATGTACTCTCAATAAATTTAATAAAATAGAAAACAGAAATTTTATCTTATTGTTTCTCTGTATAAAAGACATGTGACAATTAACCCTGGGTATGGGGCAGGTTGACAANTCTGCGCGATTGTACTTAACATTAAAATACTCTTTTGTGTAAAGATATATAAGAATAATATTTGATTTTTCTTAAAGTTAAAGGATGTGACTATTATATAATGTACCTAATATTACATAGTATTGCGTACATTTTTTTTTTTTTACAATCTATTTTGGATGTTACTTTGTGCCCCGGTCTCCCCTACTTTTATTACTACAAACTCCTGAAGAAACTTTTTCTATTTTGTTACTTTTTCATTTCCGTCATTCACATTGAAGCGGGACCGCGCGCGGAACGCGCTTCTGATTTGCTCAAATACCAGGCCAAACAAAAATGGCGCTGATCAATTAGTGCCACGTCTTGCCATGCTTGTTAGGTGGAGATGTTCCAGTGTGTATAGAGTTCAGTGCCCGTGCCTCTTATACGCGAGAATGGCCTCTTATACGCGTTTATGCGTTTCGAGATTTTCAGATCTTAAGAACGGCTAAACTGATCGAATTCGGCCTAGACTCAATAGAAAGGTGAGATCAAGGCACGAAAAAAGTATCTCACGGTTTTTTCTTCCGTTCTTTCCCTACAAAGAAATCCCAGTGCAAAATCTGAAATCCGGAAAAACTATGTTCACCTTTTTCGTCCACGTCTTGGAACATGGATTTTGTCAGTAGAACGTGCTCTTCCTCTTGTCGCCGTCAAGTGACAACACTTTCGTGCACATATGTATTGCGTTTAATTTGAGAAGAGAATTTTACTGCGCATAGGGAAAGAAAAGCGGGCAAAGTAGCGTAGGAATAGCGTTGTGTGCGGGATTGTTGTTTGTGGAACACTTGACAACCAAGGCTGTAAAGAGATTTTTTTAATAAGAAAAGTGCGTGAAATTTTTCGCGGTCGATGTGTATAGGTCATAATGTATTTTTTTCTTTTTAAGTGTTCGTATTATCTTTCCGTAGTAAGTCTTTCTTTTGTGTGTAGAAAAGAGCTTTGACTATATAATATATGGACTGCTAGTAGCTAACTTCAGACGTGTCGCCAAGCTGCAAACGTGTAAACCGTAAGCTCCGCCCCTGTCAGTAATTTTCTGCAAGAGTGGAGAGGCTTCTGTAAAAATGGCGTCAATGGTTAAATCAGCGTGAAATTCCCGTTTACTGTTTTGCATTTACGTAGTGTTTGCTGTTAATGTGTTTATGCTGAGTTTGACTTTTTCCTTTATCAAAAATGTATTGCTTTGTTTATGAATGCAAATCGTCGACATACAAACGCAAACGTGACGAGAAGAAGCCAGTTTTGCCATTTTATAGGTAAGTTAGTTATCTCTAACCTGCAAATTTTTTTTACTTGTAAATAGATATTCAGTATAATCTGATATAATTATGTACTTAATTTAAGAACAATAAAGAATAAATAATATAAAAAACACGGCAACTTTCGATCAATTTATTTGAATTTCCCGGCATTTACTGACAGGAGTGGAGCCAATAAATCGCACTTCGATATCTCAGCCAACTTCAGCTCGGCAACACCGGACATATGCCTTTAACATAGTAAAAGTGGGGGAACTACATAGAGCTTATAGATATGGAGTAGGAATAGCGGCGAAAAGCTGTGAGCAAGATCTGAGAGACAGAAGATATACTTCTGTCCTGCTCATGTACTGTTTTTTCTTTCTGCGCATGTGCTTGCGCAAGTACCACGTGATATACGAGATTTGTCTTATTTCCTGAAAATAACCTGTAGGACCCAGTGCAAGGAAATAAGACAAAGCAACGGTTTTTTAATAGAATTAAATAAATCTTAGTCTTATTTCCTTGCACTGACTGCTATTTTACAGGTTATTTTCAGGAAATAAAACAAATCTCGTATATCACGTGGCACTTGTGCAAGCACATGCGCAGAAAGAAAAACAGTACATGAGCAGGACAGAAGTATATCTTCTGTCTCTCAGATCTTGCTCACACTTTCCACTCATTGCTTGAATAGGCTATTCCCACTCCATATCTATAAGCTCTATGGGGAACTAGCAGTCCATATTTATATAGTCAAAGGAAAAGAGTAGGTTTTCTCTTGCAAAAATACTTTTGGAGTAGTTTTGCGTGCCAGGAGTTGCAGCTCAAAACTCTAAAGCAGGGTTATTTAAGAGCTCATAAATAGCTCATAATTCTGGCCCAAAGAGCAATTCGATATTTGCAGTTTTAAGTGGTGGGGAGCGCAGTCCAAAGAGACTTAGCCTCCCCACTGAAAACTTGAAATTCCTGCTCCGCTAAACGAGCTCAAAATTTTTAACTTGGTGGGTTCAAAAGCTCATAGCTCGTAATTCTGCAATAATTTTGAATCGATTCGGACAAGGTGAGAGGGCTAGGTCCTGAAGGCTCCGTTCGAAGACGGCCGAAGCGTCGAGCGCACACGTACAGACGGCGTCATTAATTCGAAGAATAGGCGCGGGGATCGGAGGGCAAGCGGGGCGGTTGCTCGTAGCGCCAACGGGAGCCGTACTAACTAACTAGTAGCAATCGGGTGTCCACAACTGGACACCCGATTTTGGGACTAATGGATATTTGGATCAACTGGACTTTTTATGTGATCCCCGTGCCTATTCTTCGAATTAATGACGTCGTCTGTACACGGCTCCTCGCCTGTGTGCGTGTCCCCTCCACTTGATGCAGCGTGCTGTAAGAAAGTCAAAAGAATACTGACTACGTTTACACGTACTGGTAAAACCGTTTTAATACAAAACCGGACTTAGATGTCCGTTTACAGGACACCTAAGTCTGGTTTTTACTAAAACGGTTTTAATAACATCAGTACAAGGAACGTTTACAGGACATCTAAGTCCGGTTTTGTACTAAAGACATCTAAAACGGTTTTACCAGTACGTGTAAACGTACTCACTGATCAAGAGGCACGGTAGTTCCTCGCGCTAAGTATGTGCGCAAAGTGTTTGCGCGCTGCGCGAGGTACCACGTGCTTCATTTACATGCAAGTAGGGCCGCTGAGAAGATAATTATATACACGTTGTAAAGATGTGAGAAAGCGAAATAGAAAATACGATATATGCAGATATAAGTAGATGTACTTTGAATATTATGCGCATGTGCAGTGACATATAATACATAGGGCCATCCTACAATGAATTAAAAATGTCCCGTTGCCAGTTTATTTAGCAATTACGTAAAGAAAAGTATTATTTCTGGTTGCGCTTTGTCGTTACGGCTACTAAAAAAGAGTTGGTCAACTTTCAACTTTTGTCACCAGCAACTGGCAACCGCAGAGAGAACACGTAAAATAATAATTTTTTCCTAGTAGTCGCAACTGGCAATGGAACATTTTCAACTCATTGTAGAATAGCCCATAAAGAAAGAACAGAGGCTAATATAAAAAGTTGCGCTTAATTAAATAAAAAATATAAAAAAATAATATATCGTATATAAGTAAAACAAGACAAATTTTTTTAGGTATATAAAAATTCAGAAAAATAGGATGAGAAGTAAATATTAAGAAGTGTATTGTGTTGCAGTAAAAAAAGTGTTTGTCAAAACCATATTCTACAAAAATGTGTGATATCCAAACAAAATACCTTTTCAAAAAAAGGTAAAAAAGGCGCCAAGTACACGAGCAACTCGTATCTCTAGAGAAAAAGTATTATTATAAAAATCTTCTCTACAAGATCTATTCTACAAAAGAAATGATATCAATAAGTTACGCCAAGTAAAATCTTTCAATGTATGTCTATACATTATTACAAAAATATATAAATATATAAAACTTTGTAAGTTGTTTATACGTTGTAAAATAAAAAATATTCTAAATTAATAGAAAGTTTAAAATATTGTATGACCACTGCACTTTTTATATAAAGCATTCATTGATGTAAGAAATGACTTCGCCTTGCGTGGAAAATCTTAAACTATGTCGAATCACACATATAGATTTTGCTTTGTGTGAAAAGTCAAAAGCTCATGTGGAATGCTTCAAAATAAAAAATATTTAATGTAAAAAAACTTGGCGCGGCTGCACCGAAAACTAAAGACAGAGTCAAAAACCCAGTAGGATTTTTGAAAATAAAAAATATTTACTAAAAAAAAAACTTGTCGCGGCTGCACTTATTGTTAGTTTTATTTTCTCTAGAGATACGAGTTGCGCATGTACTTGGCGCCTTTTTTTACCTTTTTTTGAAAAGGTATTTTGTTTAAGAATGACGCGAGTTTTGTGAAGAATACTTACCTGAGCGTATTCTCATAGTTATTTTTATGTGCACATTTAAGTGCGCATAAAATTATTTTTGCTTAAGAAGAGTTTATATGAGCCGTTTATTTTGAAAGTGACCTAACTTCATTTCTCAATTTTTTTCGGTTGCCATGGTTACACGTACAACTTCATGTTATTTAGTAATAAAGCATTTCAGATTGCTTATATTCCAAGCAAATACGATAATTTTTGACACATAATTTTTTATAGTTCAATAATTGAACCGTGTAGTTTGAAAGTGGCCTATAACTCCATTTATACTTAAATCAAGATATTTACTATTGATAATGTCCGAAGGCAGTGATGAAGGTAATTTTAATTAATTAGTATTTAACAAGTTAACCTCAGTTTTTGGAGAATTGCGTTAGTTGAATAACCAGTACGTTTAATTAATATAAAACTTAAAATTTGATATTAAATTTTAGAAAGTATTTCACCCATGGGGAAGAACAGAACAAGACCATTTAGTTCAGATAGTGAAGAAGAAATAGTAACTAATGATTTAAAAAGAAATCGAAAAAGAAACAGAATTATAGAACAATATTCGTCTTCAGAGGATGAAGATACGAATAACAATGGGGAAAAGATTGATGAATCATACATCCAAAAAGTGCGAAAGATTAAACGGAATTCAGGAAAAAGATATTGTACTCAAACCGGAAATATTGTACCTGCAAAAATTTTCCTAAACAAAGATTGCCGTTGTCGGAAAGCTTGCACAAAAAATTACGATGAAGAAGAAAGAAAGAATATTTTTGAGAAGTTTTGGGGTTTGGGAGATTTTAATAAACAAAATGTATTGCTTTACGAAGCTGTCGAGCGCAAAATTGTGAAACAAAGACGCCAAACAAACGGAAAAGGTTNGCCAAGAAATTGNAGTTTTAGGTATTTGTTAAATTCTAAAACCGGAAAAGTTCCCGTCTGTAAAAAATTCTTTTTGGATACTTTTAAAGTAAGTGAAGGACGCTTAAAACGTGTATTAAACACTGTAAATGTAGGCAATGATTTACGTGGGATGATGGTTGGATCATCAAGAAAATTATCTGAGGAAGACAAAAAGCACGTTCAAAACCATATTAAAATTTTTCCTAAATATGAATTCCATTATACCAGATCTCATAATCCTAATAGAAGATATTTACATCCTGATCTAACTCTTAAGAAAATGTTTAATTTATACGAGCTTTATTGCGAGGAAAATAAAAAAAAGCCGATAATGAGTGGACTTACAGAAAAATATTTAAAAAAGATTTTAATTTACATTTCCACCAACCGCGCAAAGATACATGTCAAAAATGTGACTTATTAAACATCAAATTTAAAGCATCGAATGATAATACAGAAAATAATAAACTTACAGAAGAACACGATGTCCATTTAAGACTAGCAGAATCAGCTAGGAAATCACTAAAACAAGATCAGGAGCAAGTATCACGACATTCAGATTATTATTTCGCTTTCTCGTTCGACTTGCAAAAAGCATTACCGTATCCCAAGTTGACTACCTCAGTAGCATATTACAAACGCAATATGTATGTTCTAAATTTGGGTATTCACAATTTTCACAACGATAATGTTTACATGTACGTTTGGGATNAAACTATTGCATCCAGAGGTGCTCAAGAAATTGTTTCATGCATCCTAAAACATGTTAAAAATTTAAAAACTGAAAGACACATTATAGCTTACAGTGACATTCGTTTTTACCAAATGATAGAGATTTTGGCGTGGTAGAAATGTCATTAAAAAAAATAATTTACTGTTCGTTACCCAAGATTATTACAATATAATTAAAAAGTGTCGGAAAGGTAATAACTTTATTGTAAATAAAATGAGACAAGAAGATTTTGTATCAACAAAATTATTAGAAGACGTAATTTTTAAAAGGGTAAAGAATTCTGATGGAGAATCAATAAACTGGTTAAAAATGTTGGATGCGTTTTGTCAGAAATAAACCGTATAAAATTTTCTATAAGACATCAATGAATGAGAATGAAAATTTTGAAGTCCTGAATTTATTACCACGTCGGGGTAGACCAAGAAAGTTCGAAAATATTGTATTGACACCACTATATAAAAATATCAGACAAATTACAACAGCAAAATTCAAGGACATAATTGATTTATTACGATATATACCACCGGAACATCATGATTTCTTCAAATCCCTTTCACACACACAAAATGTAGATGAGTAGTAAGTAAATTGATTTGTAATAAATTTATGTTTGTAATTTTGTACGTTATGTAGTTAAAAAATGTTTTGAATCGCATAAATTATGTTTCCGAAGTATTTTAAGATATGTAAAATAAATTGAGTATTGTTTTTTTCAATTTGAAGCATCTTAAATTATATATGTTGAATGGACCTGGGCACCTTCAAATTTTATAATGAATCTGGTTGTTAATTTTGAAAGTGGCCTAACTCCATTCTTGATAAGAAAACACATATTATTCACTTAATACTTGCTACTATTTTAATAGGAACTATAAATTTAACACCCTTAGACACTTAAGCAGTATGACTCATTAGTATCCTGTACGTATATTTTTAATTGCATTACAACACAAACCTGTAAATATCTCACTTTAAGTATAAATGGACTTAGGCCACTTTCAAAATAAACGGCTCATATCTCACTTCTAAAAACTTAATTTCATAGGTGTACTTGTAGTACTGGTATAATTTAACTAATATTTATTGTATAGTGCTGGAAGGAATGAGAGACAAAAAAGAGGTGGAAGAGGAAAAAAGGAAAGGAGAGGAAAGGAGAGGAGAGGAGAGGAGAGGAGAGAGAGGAGAGGAGAGAGAGAGGAGAGAAGAGAGAGAGAGAACAAAAGTGGCTGTATACAAGCATGTTCGTGTAGTCTTAGCTTCAGATTACTATATTACAAATATGCTTGTTATATATCACCACATTAATACATAATTGATTAATTTATGACAGAATTTTCATTGTACACTATGGTTGCATAACGCGTTTAACGTACATACAGAAAACACCCAGATACATAGACAAATGTAAAGACGCAGAGACGCACCTGAGTGTATGCATAAACATTACAGGTCACACGCTTTCTACCGCACGCATCTTCGAAATGCTTTTTTGATTTTCCGTGGTTGGGATCCCGTTGATTGAGGTGTAGCACTACAAAAGAAAACAAGTTGTTTAGTATAAATTAACATAAAATGTATCCCTTATAAAATTGTCAATAATATAGTTTAAAAAAAAGGCTAATACGAGGTTGAATATTCATGTATAAAGATATTCATGTATAAAGCAGCATCTTTTTATTAGATAGCCAAACATTTCGATTTTTATTTTGGATCTTCTTCAGTGGCAACATGTAGTTGCATTAAATAAGTAAAAAGAAAGAATTACGATGGATTGTCAATTACATTGTAAACTAAAGATTAACAGGTTCGTGATAAAGACTAAATAACAAAAATTCACTTCAATACACACAAATTGTACATCAATAAATTAAAATGATAGAGTAAAATTCGAATTGTCTTCAATAAAAAACCAAAGAATTAATAAACCCAAAGAGTAAAATAAACAAAATAATTAAAGATTTTAGTTACTTTACTGTCAAAAAGGATTAAACCATCACCATAGCAAAGTTACAAAAATATAAACATCACACGGTTAAAAAAGAACTGAATACTGATGTACAACTTTCACAAATTCCAAATATATATCCTCTCCTCTTAAGTATTGTTAGATACATAACTGTAAAGAAACTGTTATAAGAAACAAGGAGAAATATAAAACTTATTTGACTTTATAATTAAAAAAAAAAAAAAAATAGGGATTTCAGTTTTCTGTTGTTTTCCATCAGACATTACGTTAATAGCACTATTCTGCAATTTTATGTAGCATTTCTGATATGGATCTTTTTATATAAAAATTCTCCAAGATCATAAAATGTATCGCAGTTGCATCTTGAATCGACTAAATAAAAAGGAAACTAAGAACCAGGATTAATGAACCAGAAAATCAAATTAAAAGAGAAACAGTAATGTTTCCGTTATAACAGAACACAGACTTACAACTGGTCATGATTGTAACTGGAAAGAGACACAGATTATAGACTTTAAATATTTAGTTTATAATGTAATTGACAACCCATCGTACTTGTTTCTTTTTATCACATGTAGTTGCCACTGAACAAGATTCAAAACAAAAAAAAAGTCCGAAAGTCGAAACATTTATTCTAATAAAGAGGCTATCTAATAAAGAGACTGCTTTATTTAACTCGTATTGACCCTTAAATTATATTATTGTTTAGTATATATTTCACAAATACATGTATTAAAAAAATCTTGCTAAACTTTAAAAACAAAAAACTTACTTAAATGATGTCGGTGCACTCCCTTTAGTAAAGTTGAACGAAGGTCGACTATTGGGGTCAAAAGCCACTGCTGGAGTGGAAGTAGTAAGAGGATTAAAATTAAATCCTCCACTTGGTGTTGAAGATGGCTGTAATTAATTTATAATATTAATTTATAATATTAATTGTTAATAGTAATTCTATTTGAAAAAGATAAGAAACAAAATTTTATTAACTTTATGTATAGATTTTTAATATAGTGTGGTTTATTAGTATAGAGCAAAAATCTTTAAAAGATCTCTAAACAGCTAATTGGATATACTTACAAAAAGAAGTTCGACTGATAAAACATAAACGCATGTCATGTTCTTTTAATTACAAAGAATTAATTATGTAAAGTAGGTCATATTTACCATTCCTCCAAAGTTAAAACCTGATGTTGCAGCAGAAGCTGTAGATCCAAAATTAAATCCTGTACTGGATGGAGCACTAGACGGGAAAGACTTCACTTGAGTCTGTGGATCCGTTTGTGTGCCAAATATTGGAGTTGTCCCTTGACCGAATGCTATCGATGTCTCTTGTTTAGGATTAAACGCAAAATTAGGAGTATTTGTTGAAGAAGCAGTAGTTGCGAACGTATTGCCGTCAAACACATTATGACTGTTCTGTGTTATACTCGAATTGCTGCCAAATGTGAAAAGTGGCTTCGCAGCAGGAGAATTCATAGCCGAATTAGCGTTAGCAGTAAAGTTAAATCCACCGCTTGTTGATTGTTGCGACGATGCCGAACCGAATGTGAATAGAGATGAGTTCGACGCGATGGTAGGTTCGTTAGATTTGGTGGTCGAGAATACTGTAGGTGTCGTTGTAACGGCGCTAAAACCGTGTGTTGTAACGCTGCCAAAAACGGGAGTGCTGTTACTTCCAAAAGCACCGAAAGTTGGTAGGGAATTCGATGCGGGTGTTTGTGAGGATGGACTGAATACCGGCAATTTTGTTTCCGACGTCTCAAAAATCGAAGATTTAGCCTCGGTGCTACCGCCAAATGTTGGATATTTGTTTTCAGTTGTGCCAAATCCAGATGGTTTGTTGTACGTCGTGGTAAACGCCGACTTGTCTGAGCCAAACGCCATTGTCGTTTTCGTTTCGTTGTTAATTGTATTATTGTTGAAAAACGATGTGGAGCTCGAGACAATCGGAAATATAGAAGAGGTAGTCGAGACATCATTTTTTGACTTAGTAAATGACGAAGCAATAGTTTCGACTACTTTGTTCTCTCCGAACGACAAATTTGTAGATAAGGCGGTGGATGATGTCAGAACTTGACCAAAGTTTGTTATTGTTGTAGACGGCTGAGACATTATTTTTGAATCGGAAAAAGTAAAAGTTGATTGAGCAAAGGTTGGAAGACAAGGTATTGTTGCATTTGTGGAAGCAGTACTACCAAATAACGCAATAGCATCAGTACTTTTAGTGCTTGGTACGCCAAATGAAAATATTGGGGTTGGTAAAGTTATTTTATTGGTGATTGGTGTTGACTCGCTTATTGTTGTTATTACTGCTTCTTCCGTTAACTTAACACTTTCTATCGCAGTGGTTGACTTTTCTTTTTCCTTATTCAAAGCAGTTTGTTCAGAATCTGATTTTTTCACACCAAATGTAAAGATTGGAGTAATCACCATAGTGCTAGTTGCAACAATGCTTGTACTTGGTTTCTCATTTACTATCGTTAAATTGTTATCTGTTGGCGTGTTGAAAGTTTCTTGCTTATTTTGTGAATCCTTTTTAGTAGACTCAGATTCCTCAAGTGTTTTTGTATTAAGTCCTGTACTAATAGAAGACGTTATGACACTACTGCTCTTGGCTGCTTCGCTCGTGACTTTGTTCTCTTCTCTAAGACCAAATGTAAACTGTGCCGCACCACTGTTTTGTTGTAATGCATCCACACTAACAAACTTGAATCCATTTAAAGATGCAGTATCGGATTTTGATTGAGAATCAGCCTTATCTGTATCAAACTTGAATCCACTTGAATGATTAGATACATTTGATGTACTTGATGGTATGCCAAATTTAAATTGCAAGATAGAATCAGTATTTGATAAAGACTTAGTGATTTTTGTAACACCAGGTTTTGGAGCTTGGCATGCTATACACTCCATACGCTTTGCGTCATTTTGTAACAAACAAGAATCACAATTCCACGCATCTTTAGGCTTGATAAATTTATCTCCAAACCCGTTAGTTGGTAGGTGCTCTCTCATAGTTCGCTCATCACCGGAATTGAGTTTAGTGGTACCACAACAAGGACAAGTAGTGACAGAACTGTTGTTTCTAACAAGACATCCCGGACACTCCCAGGAATCTTTGCTTGGTTTAAATTTATTCATTATATCAGAGTTGTTAGATGCAGATGCCTGCATTGCTATGTTTTCTGTGTCAACAGTATTATTCTCTGTAATAGTTTCTTTGTTTCTCCTTTTATCTGAGATTTTTTTTAAGGAGTTAGGTTTAGATGCATCGCAACAAGGACATGTAAGAACATTTTCGGCATTTCTCAACAAACACCCAGAACATTCCCACGATCCTGCGGCAGGTTTAAACTTCTCCATTAGGTTGGCTTGAGGCTTGATAGTTTGTTGCACGGTATTGTTTTCTGATTTTGGCATACAGCACGCTACGCATTTATTATCACTCCGTTTGTTTCTTACATAACAGCTTGTGCACTCCCATTGATCTTTAGATAGTTTGAAATGAGATCCAAAACAATCATTTGCGACTGGCTTTGTTTGTACAACAATGTCTGTTGTTGACGTTAAAGTCGACAAAGATTTATCTTCAAGATCTGGTCGAAGAACTTTGCACGCATTACACTGCTTATCTATGTCATTGTTCCTGATTAAACATTCACTACATTCCCAAGATTTGGAAATAGACGTGCTTTTGATATTTGAAGTTATACTTGCAGATATATTGTCGGTCTTAACGGTATGTGTTTTCTCGGAAGTCAGTTTCAAGTCTGATTGTCCAATAGCATCAGAGTCAGTTTTGTTCGATTTTTGACGTAATAAATCTGTAATATTTTCCATTTTCGGTTTGACAAGCATTGCGAATTCCATTGAGTTATCCTGGCGATCTTTCACTTTTGCTTTTAATCTAGGCGCTGTGGATGAGCCAGACCAGATGAAATTTGGCATAGCTGTACCATCAACAGAAGATATGACAGAACCTGTATTCTGTGCTAATGAAGACGAACTTAAATCATTCGTTTTTGTTTTATTCCCACTATCATATATATCTATTGGATTACTGAAAGTGAAGCTTTTAACAGGCTCCACATCTTCTTCGACATTGATCATCTTAATGGGACTGGCAAAAGTAAATGTATTTTCCTTATTAGCTACAGTTTTGCCTGCAGCAAAATGTACACTAGGAGCTGGTATCGAAAAGTTGAAATTAGGTAAAGTAGTTATCGGTAGAGGTATGTTCGGCAAATTTACGGGCATTACAGTTTCTTCTTGTTCCAAATTAACCTTGGATTTGCCTTTCAGCTTTCCGCGATACTTCTCACCATCATTAAGTTCCACTCTAAAAGAATAAATAATATGCATAAAATCTCTTATTTTTAAAAATTATGCAAATTAACTTGAATATTATATTCTATTTGATTTTTATCTAAATATACCTTAGCCAATATTCTTGCGAAGACGGCGGTGGATTACTGCGTGCAGAAACTATCTTTCTAACAGTGAGCGTTGTATCTTGTAACTTCTGTCGCCTCTTTAATGTCAATATGTCCGGGACGGTTGGTACTGTTAATTCACGAGCCAAATGACGTAAACCAATTTTTTTAGTTCCTTCTGCTCTTTTTCTGCTTAATATCGAGAAAACGGCACTACTCGCGTTCTTCAATGGAATTTTTTTTGCATCAGATATAGGTGACGAGAAATGTTCCAAAGCTTCCAATATTTTTTTAGCGGTTTGACTCATGCCTGACGAATCACTTTCTGTGACATTAGAAGGAGTAACTACAACATTTGTCCTTTTCGGTACTTTAAGCTCTAACTGAAATTGATAGATACATTGATATAAAAATTAAATTAATAGATATCTCTATAAAAGTTTTAATGTAATTCTCATTTCAAAAATAAATAATACATTAAACATCACTTATATTCAGATTATAGTTAACATGAAATATACCTGATTTAAACTATTGTTAAAAAAATTACGATTGTGGCTGTAAAACCCTGCTGTATTCGCACCCCCAAAAGTAGTATTACCATCATAAAAAGGAGAAGATAAAGCAGATGTGCGTTGAAGAACATTTGTCACAACTGATTCATTAAATCTAGGTCTACGACTGCTTAAAGTCTCACGAGAACTACTGTTTAAAAATGAAGACTTTGAAGATTGTAAAGAACTTGCTGAAATAAAAATAGGATTTGTACCTATTATTTTATATTTTTTATCAAACATGTGTATTAAATAACTTCAACATAAAACACACGGTTACTTACTAAATCTCAATTTATCATCAATATGTCTCTTTCTACTAGAAAATGTAGAACTATATAAAGCTGGTCCTTCAAATCTATTCATTTGTTGAATAAGCGAACTACATCCACTAGTTTCACTTGATTCCGAATTATCATCTGTACCGTTAGTAATTCCATCATTAGTCAATGAAGTTAAAGAATTTAAGTCAGACTTGTGAGATGTCACATCCCTAATGTCTGCTTGTACTGTTGAAGACATCAAACAGCTTAGACCACTTGGTCCAGGTGTTGCTTGATCTAAAAATTCTTCTGTCTGTAATAAGTAAATAAATTTTAATAAGCACAAATTGTTTTGCTCTGTTTAAGCCCTTTTTTCAAATTTTAACTTACCATGTTACTATGAACAGAAGGTTGTTCTTTAGAAAGATCAAGAGTGTTTACCGTACTTTTTGTTCTTGTTTGTATAGAAAATGTACCAGGTGGATAAATTCTATCCATACGAATACGCTTATTAGGAGGAGGTTGTCCTTCCTCAAATTCTGCATTTTCTGTATTCTCCTTACCATCTAATGTATCAGCAATATTTTCAGTTGAATTGAACCATTTGGAAAGTCGTAAGGATTGTGGTATCAAATCTGTCATCTTGGTTGTCATCTTTTTTACAAATGACTAAAAAATAATAAACAAAAACTATAACATTGAAAGAATAAGTCTATGTTTTGATACATGTATTCTCTGTGCGTATAATTACGCAATATACACGATGTGAGATTGTATACATACTTATATGTAAGTGTATGTTTTTTTATGTACAAAAGAACACATAAAGAAAAAAGACAAAGAGAAACATGATTTGTGCTTTTTAACTAGATAAAGAAGATTAAAAACTAATAAGTGCGCTCATATGATAAAAGTCGCGCTTGAAGCACTACGCCATAACACGCGTATATAAAAACATACGTCTCGCGATTGAGTAAGATTGAGGTTATCAGCAGGCACTCATATAACCGTGACACTGTCAGTAGGTATCACGCGAAAGTAAACCTTATTATAAAGAACCAGGCATACGAAACATTCTGCGACGAGACACAGTCAACGTCAGTCCAAGATTGCCAAGCTATTTTAAGCACGAGAAAGATGTGTGGTCGGCGTACATTTCGTCGTGGCTCATTTTTACGCTGCGACGAGTCTCGTATTCAAGAAAGTTTACTTACGTTGGTCGCGTCATAGATGTTCACGTTGCGCGGTGACGGCTGTTGTCTGCCAGATAAATCGCTGTTTTCCTTAGCCATGTGTAACCGTTACTCAATACACTGCCACTACACAACAACCAGGTTACGATACGCGCAAAATCGACAAAATCATTTCTGTCAGTATTGGGATCCGCACTTTCCTTGCCCTTGGTAAGAAAGATCCACGAAAAGAAATATGGCTGCGCTTGATCACAAAGACCCGCCATCGGGGCGCTAGCAGAACTTCAAATAAAATTCAATGCGCTATCCACATGATGACGCGATCCTAGTGTCCCTAGAACAACAAAAGATTTGTTTGCGTCGCATGCTTAAGGCTGCTTTCCTTTTAAGAGACACAGTCAGGGTTGGGTTATTCGAGCATTATCTAGAGTTTTTTACATTTTACAGTTTTTTACGGTAAAATACGTAAAAAACGTATAAAATACGTATAAAACGTATAATATTTATCGAAGTATACTATTATGTTTGTAGAAATGCAAATTACATTTGTCAACAAAGTTTTTAAGGTTGTTGATTGGCCTAGAATAGAAAAGTACTANAAATTCAAAAATTTCTTTATCCTGTAAGGGCTATTACACATAAAATTCCTTGATAATTTGGATGACAAAAGTTTGCTGCCAATGCAATTGGAGTGATTATTTTATTAATACTAGCCTTAATTCGATAAATGAGGTTGTTGTTTAATGTTTCTAAAGTCAACTAATCTTCAACAATATCTGCAAATGTTGTACATGAATTTTCACATTTCTCTATAATTGAACGTATTGATCCATACAAGTCCAAAGAATCGTGTAATTCTTGCTCGAATGTTTCGTCGAAAAGTATAGTGACAACAGTTCTTTTCAATTTATATACATTTTTGCCGACAATTTGTCTCATACCTGCTAAATTTTTTTTACAGGATGCATACATATCATGCAAATTATCACAAGAGGTAGTATTCGATAATATAATTGTTGCTCCATCACGTTTCAATAAATCTTCTTTCAAATCTAAGAATTCAACAAGCAGATAACGAACCTTATCTACAAAATTTTCATTTAATAATACTTTTTCGAATGATAATGCAAAGAATAAGTTGCAATTTAAAAACCAAATTATTTTGTTCACTAGTTTTTAGTGTATGATAATCTTAATCTGTGATTACAGAATAAATCATGATAGAGTAATTAGTTTTAATTATATGTAGTGCTTCATTAATTATTTCTTCTAAATTGCACAAGATATCCCATGACTTTAAATAGAAGGTCTTTCCTTGGATAACTTTAACAAAAGTTACAATTTGCTTTCAGTTTTGAAATGATGTTTCTTTAACCATCAAAATTCTATCACAATTGTGTGTGACTAACGTAGTCAATAAAATTGCTGCTTTCTGCTTAAAAACTGCAAGTTGATTGGCTATACATTTTTCGAACCAAAATCTCGGACCGATTTCTAGCACCATGGATCATGGATGTTGGACTTAAACATTTACTATACACATGGTGTAGAGACGGCGCCACACGAAGTATAATATGTATAAAATTAAGCAATGTATTATACTGTACAATACCAAGTATAATACAATGTAAAATACCTCACGTATAATACGTGCCCAACCCTGGACACAGTCGACACAAGTCGACACAAAAGTCATTCTGTCTTCGTTCAATATTCAGTGAGAAACAAAGACAGAATGAAACTTGTGTCGACTTGTGTCGACTGTGTCCCCTAAAAGGAAAGCAGCCTAAGGCTAATATTACATTTATTGTACGACAACAATTTTAAGTATATTGATTGGCTATCAAATAGAGTTCTTTATAAAACTCTATCTCAAATAGAGTTCTTTAGAAAACTCTATCTGATAACCAATCAACATACTTAAAATCGTTGTCGTACGACAAATGTACTATTAGCCTAAGAGCCCTTAAGAGCCTTCTACAATAAAATATTAGTAATCAATCAGAAGTCAGAAGCAAGAAATTGACTAATCACAATCGACTATTCTTCTGTGATTTGGCTGTGATTGGTCAATTTCTTGCTTCTGACTTCTGATTTATTACTAATATCTCATTGTAAAAGGCCCTTAAGGCCAAAGCACAGACTTTTGCATAATGCATAACGCATAAGACGTAAGAGAATCAACCAATCAAAGTTTTCTAGAACAAGAAGTAGGGATGAAAACAAAAGGCTGAATTGGTTAATTTTCTTATGTCTTATGCGTTATGCGTTATGCAAAAGTATGTGCTTCGGTCTTAATAAGCGTAGCGAGATGCAGAGATGCCAGTTTTGAGACGCTTGCAGCATGCAGCAGAAAGTGGAGAGGATACGCACACAAGCGAATAGCCACTCGCCAAAGCGCTGAGCGCACACGCACACGGCTGTTCGCTTGTGTGCGTTTCGTCTGTGTATCCCCTCTACTTGCTGAGCATGCTGCAAGCGTCTCAAAACTGGCATCTCTGGCGAGATGTGGCTTTTCACTATATAAGCAGAGAGAAGACTGAGAACGGCCGTGCCATTGTTGTTTTTTACGACGGTTTCCAGCCGCTACTTTCAGCGCTGGGTTCCACTTTGCGTGGAATTCGCGAAACGAATTCCACTTTCAGGCGCATATAATACAAATGTATATCGGTTAGAATCCGTGCTAGATCCACTTTCATTCATGTGGTTGGACGTCACGCACACGGACACGGTTTCGTTTGTGTGCGTGCCTTCATCACCGACTATATGTAATACTTCTATATTGCTAGTCGCGTATCTTCGCAATGAGAGGCACGAGGCCCGAGAAAGAGAGACGCACGAAGTCCAAATATGGGCATA